TGGGGTATAATTCTAGTTCATTCTTTTTTTTATTGCCAGAGGGCTGTTGTGCTCCCCAGACAGAGAGAACTCTTCAAATGGGGACATGGTGACACTGCAATCCTTTTCCATCCATTTCTCCATTCTATCAGGATTTGGGGCAAGCGCTTGTGCTTGATATGATTTTCATCTGCTGGGGCCAGGACTCAAACTCCAGCCCGTCATGTGGGTTCCAGCTCCTGATGCACAGTGCTGGGCCGTTGTGCTATGGGGCTGGCTCTAAACCCTAGCTGTGCACTTCAGGGCTAGGTGACTCAACAGGGGATACCAGCCTCCTGGTGCTCCACACTTCTCCCGTGTAAGTCAGAGAGGCAGTGAGGTCCTAGGTCAGACCAGCTGGTGTGGAGCACACAGCCGTCTGGCAGCAGTGTGAATTGCTGGGGAATGGAATCTCTGGTCATTACCCAGCTGCCTGTTTCTTATGCTGGACGAAAGTTCTCACGTGCTGACTGCCACACCTTTGCCATCCCCACCCTGGCTTTGCTGTCACATTGCCTCATACTATGAGGCCGAGCCGCCTCACGAGGTGGCAACTTTGGAGGAGCAGGAGAACCTTGTTGGAAGCTATCCATGACTCATGTTGAGGACTGCACACAGTAACTCTTCCAGTGTCTTCCATAAATTACAACAGATCGAGGCCTAGGAAACAGGAAGAAAGTCGCTGGGTTGTCATCTTAGGTAACCTTCCACCGTTATCTTTAAAGGCTTAAATGTTGATGTTTGTTCTCTCTGGGTATGTGAAAAAAGATGGCCTTGGAAGGGGCTTGGGAAGAAGCGAAGGTGAAATCTTGTGTAAGATAAGTCACAATGTGGGTCACATTTGAAAATGACAAGCTTGGCTGTTGCTGTTGGTAACCATTGGCCTAAGGAAAAGCAGTGGTTCAGAAACTTCCCTTGAATTGTTTTTCTTTTGAAAATATCTCACATAGAATGGGAAGTGTGGGTCACAGGTGTAAACCCTCAGGCCGCGCTATCTCAGTGAGCTCAGTGCTGATCTCAAGGACAAAAAAGGAGTTTTGCATTCAAAACAGCTTTACTCTCCAGGCAGGGGGATGGGTATGAAGGTAGTCCCATTGGGTGTAGAGTCGGAGGGAGAGTTGGAAACAGGAGCTGTGCACTTGAGATGTTGATTTCCCCCTCTCCCCTTTCTTGGCATGATAATTTTGATCATGGCCTTGGTTTTGTTCAGAGCTCTTCCATGTGATAAGTAAAGGTTGGCTACTTGGGGACTGGTAGTTAATTTGAGCCTCTGGGCAACTCTCCGCTTGCCTAGAATTCTCTATGTAACATTTTGCTTTGTGGGTTTAACTAAACTGTCAGGCCTGTAGAGGCTGAGTTATTGGAGATCATCGGAGAGGCTCAGACAGGAAATGAAACTGTTCACCACCTTAGAGCAGCAGAGGTACAGCAGAGAATGAGAATGTGTAGACCCAGAATCCTCCAGGAAGCTGTGTCTCTGGGAAGCTGGTGCAGAGCTCCTCCCCACCGCCCTCGAGAATATGCAGGCAGTCCATCTCCAGGAGTCACTGCCATGCCTTGCCCACCTTGGCTGAAGTACAGTCTTGCTTTCTCTGGTTTATCCTGGGATACAGCAGGTCTGACACTTGCTGTCATCATCAGAAGGTATCTCAGGGCCCGTGCTGAAACGGGCGATGAAGAGAAGGAATGCTCTGGGGCTGGGCAGTGGTGCAGTGTAAGATGTGGTCCTCTGCAGGACTGACCCATCATGGAAGGTCTCTGAGTACACATCCAGAGTCCTACCTGAGAGGGTGGACATGGGTTTGCTGTGACCTGGGACAGGCAGGACTGTGGATGAATCGTGGCAACAAAACTCTGTTGGGGGTGCTGGCTCTCTATCTTTCTCTGTCACAGAAGAAATAAGTATTGGGTCAGCAGATGGCATAGCAGTTATGTTGCTGGACTCCCACATGGCTGACCATGGTTCAAGTCCTGAACCCAGTGGCTTTAAAGTCACTCCAGGCGCATATGCATGTGTACCCAAAATCCTGGGAGGAGAATGGAGGAGAAGGGATTGCAGAGTGTCCATCCTCCAGGGGTTGATTTCTCATGTCTTTATCTCTCTTTCTGATACCTTAAGGCAAAAACTTCTAAAAGGAAAATGAAGTATTCTGAGGTACATACCCCTTGAGGTCAGTAGAGAAGAGCAGCACTTCCTTGTGACTCTAAAATTGCTGATTTGCTGGGCCTGGACTGAATTCAAGCCAGCCCCATCTTCAGAGGTTGGGGCAGGGGGCGCCTAAGTTAGCCCCCTGCCTCCTTTTTTATCCTCGTAAAGTTTCTGTGGTTTCCCTCTCTGTGGTCTGATTTGGAGACTGATGTTCAACCTTCCTAAAGGCTCTCTCAAGCTTTGAAATTGTGTTTTAATGCTTGTCACAAACTTCTCAGGCTGCTGTCCACACAAGTCAACGTGGTCGAATGGGGAGTTACTTGATGCCACACGGGACAGCCCACAATGGAGTGCTTAGATCCAGCTCAGCAGATGTGCGTGCCGGCTTTCGAGGTCAGCCCCACGACTTCAGACCATCCTCACAAGGAAGCAAGTGCATAGCTTTTGATGGACGAGAGGATGTGGAAGCACGTGAGGAATGTAGGGGCGCTTTCTCCATGAATTTTAAGTGGCTAATAAGAAAAGTCCTACAGCTACGGCTTCCCTGAAGGAGCTCCATCAGGCGTGTTGCTCTTTATTTTTTTTAGCCTGAGTTTATCACTCATTGATTATTAGAATTCCTCTAATCCCCTTAACGGATTTAATGATTTGTTCTCTAACATGTTTAGGTCAATGTTTTTACCAAATGTCACATTTCTTCTCAGTGGATCTGAATACTCTACAGATTACACATACTCATACATAAATATGCACTTTGCACATTTTTGTTGGGAAAATATTGGAGACAGTTTGGAAAATAACTAGGTATAATCACTTAGCTTTTTAATTCTAATACTCTTTTTTCTAATTATAAAAATGCATAATCATTGAAGGAAATTAGAAATTAATATATTTTATAGTACAGTGATGAAAACAAATTTTATTCATAATGCCACCATGCAGAATGTATTTTACATAAAGGTTTCAGATGCTTATGTATGTGTTAAAATGATTGACTCTAACCTATAGTATTTTCATCTTTTCTTGGGGGGTGGCCTCTAGAGTGAAAGAGCTCATCAGAGAGAGAGAGCGCGAGAAGGAAAATGAAGGGACCTCCACTCCCCAGGAAGTATGACCACGCCACAATACCTTTTCTAGTCTCCTCTGGGGAGTTTTGGGGCATACGCACACACACATGAAGCCACCAGGTCTGGGGCTTGAACTGCACAGTCACCTGGTAGATCTGGTGCTTCTCAGTCACAGGCAGGGGTGGCAGGTCCTACTGTCCCACACAGCAGGGACAGGGTATTACACATTGCCATGCATTTTCATCTCTGGGCTTCTGTTTTGATCATCACAGAGTCTCAGGGAAGTTGATAAGAATGGTGCTTCCATTGACCTAGTGACTTGAATTCTGGGAACTCAAGGACATTTTAGTTCCACGAGAATCACGCTTTGTGACGATTTAGGTCCAGTCCATGGTGCAGACCCTGGCTGTTCACTACGGGGTTTTCTGCAGGTGGGCGTCGATTGTGGACAGAAGCTTCCACTTCAGATAGTGGTGCAGTCCAGCAAGACGGCATCTGTCCCACTTGATTGTTTGATTTCTCAGCATCATAATCTCAGTCCAGAAGACCCTCTCGTTTCTTTTTTCCTAAGAGTTCCCTTCCCTCTTTCTCCCTCCCAGATTTCTCCAGCAAACCTCTTCTTCCACACACTCTCTCCGTATCACTTCTGAATCTTCTCAGTTCTCTTTGCTGTGAAGATGACAGCTGTGTACAGTGTTAGTTCCATGGGTTTTCCGTATGGCGTGTGTCTGTGTGTCGCTGCCTGTGTCCTGCATTTTCAAGGTTTCTGCAGGGATCCTGGGGTCTAACCACACAGTGTGCAAGAAGAGCATTCTGAAGAGTTGTGGGAAATAATTGATCAAGAGGTTGGTCTGTGCAGGGCACTTTGGAATTTAGTTAATGTGTAGCCTGAAGCAGAAAG